TACGTAATAACATTTGTGAAGCAGTGGTGGTTTCCTGATGATCTTGATATAGTTAGACAGATCAGGAAGAGTGATGAGCTGGCCAAAGCTTCACTCGAAAAAAATCAAAAAAAACAAAATGTGGCCGTAACGCCGACAATCCAAGTAGAAATGGTTCATACTGACTCAATTAATGTATAAATTTTTTATTATTTTAATTTTGAACTTGATTTTTTACTATTCGTTTTTATTATTCATTTAATTTACATTTACAAAATATCATGTTTCATAATTGTATTTTTTTAATTTTTTTTTTTATTATTATACATACATCTACAATTATTAGAAAACTTGGCTAATTTTTTCAAACCCTTCGATTTTATGCTTATCATGCATTTATGCAAATTTTAGTAATATTCCTGTTTTTGATAAACTTGTACAATAGATTCATTTTACATGATGTGGCGCAATGTGTATTTTAGGCGTCCTTCATTATTACCCATAATTTACTTCTTTCGTTTGTAACATTTTCTTATTAGAAAACTAGTTCACCAAATAAAAATCTTTAATAAATGTAATGATATTTGATATTTTAGCATGAAATTGTTCTCCATCTTTTAGATCTCAAACCTGCATACATGTTTGTATAAGTGATTTCACCTGCTAATATCGTACCAACGGCAGCAAATTAGTAATAGCAAATTTTTCATACAATCGAATATTAAAAAATTAGTAAAATAAAGTGTGCATAAAGTATGCATATGCTAGATGTGCTTTATTAAATTGCAAATATTGATCAGTGCCTGATATGTCTATTTATAAACTTTAAATTTTTACTTGGTTTTTATTTTATTTTTTTTTTTTAATAAAATTTAAAAAAAAAAACATCTTCCCTTTTCTCTTCTTTAAAACAAATCCCATATAAACTTAAAATATGAATGATTATAAATTTACTATTGCATAGAAATAAAATCAATGTTTAAAATAAGTAATTCAAAAGCTTTTAATATTTATTAAATATGTATAAAAAAACCTATAATAAAATTTTTAATACTTTTTTATAATTTTTTATTTAATTCAACATTATTTATATTTTATGTATGTATTGATTTTTTTTTAAATAAAAAACTCTTCCCGTCAATCAATTTTTTACTTGAAAATTTCCTTATTTGGTAATAGTCTTCCAAGAAACACTT